GTGAGAGAGAAACATCAATGTGAGAGAGAAACATCAATTGGTTGCCTCCCTAACAGGCCCCTACCAGGCTGGGGAACCTGCAACCGAGGTACATGCCCTTGACCGGAAATCAAACCCTTGAGCATTCAGTCCAATCCTCTAACCACTGAGCAAACTTGCCAGAGCATAAAGGATCTTTTTTTAAAAAAAGCAACACAAATACTGTAAGTCAAGCATGTCAAACTTGCGGCGGTGGGCCACGAGTTTGATATGCTTGCTGGAAGTTACGCAAAAACAAAATTCTTTAGTCCACTTATTTTCCAAACTATAAAGTTATATCAAGGAGACCTTGCAATAGGTATGGTTTAACAGCCCCTGATCTGGAGCCAGACCTGGATTTGAGTTCATATTTCAACACTTACAACCTTGAGCAAGCTATTCGTAGGGAGATAATGATAGTTAACAAAAAGATAATTTAATAGGGACATAATGATAGTGTCAATCATGTAGAGTTTCATGAGAGATACATGAGCTACAGCATCTAGAACAGTTATGGCCATAGTAGTTTTCATTTTCACTCCCAGTTGCAAAGTAAATATACAACATGTGGAGAACTCTGGGTACAGGTTGTTTGTCATCTAGAATACTACTTCCCCATGCAGTGTTGTCTTTTAAAAGAATGTTTATTGCCAGCCTTAAAAAATGGGAGATTTTTACATTAAAGAACACCCTTACAGGAAACAATGTGAAGCCTCCATACCAGCATGAGTCGTGGCTGCTGTCTCGACTATTTATTAAAATACCAAGTCAGTTTCATGTATTTCATTCATAGTGGCCTCTTAGTTGACCTCACGAATTAAATATCTAGTGCCTGTTAAACTTTGCCCGAAGCATAAATCCAAGTGGCATCTATTCTGGGAGATGTCCACCAAGAACAAGTCTCTGTGGAATGGGCTTCAGCGCTCAAAGGAAAGGATCCGATTCTGCATTGATAGAAGGTTTTCCTATGATCATCATACATCCTGACAGAACCAAGGTCCTGTAAGTGTTCAACTTCTAGTTTTAACCCTGGACCAAGCCCCTACCTTCAAAGGACTACATAGGCTTTCTAGACTTTGGGAATCAAAAAAAAAAAAAAAAGTTTTTTATTGACTTCAGAGAGGAAGGGAGAGGGAGAGAGATAGAAACAGCAATGATGAGAAGAGAATTATTGATTGGCTGCCTCCTGTGCACCTCCCATTGGGGATTGAGCCCGAAACCTGAGCATGTGCCCTGACCAGGAATCAAACCGCAACTTCCTGGTTCATAGGTTTATGCTCAACCACTGAGCCACACCAGCCAGGCTCACCTTAACTTTTTGAAGTTACACATATGTAATTCAACTCACTTGTCACTTACTGCCTTCCCACTATATTCTGCCCCTGCACAAGTTCCATGTTAGTTTCTCATCTCTGTAGAAAGTAGGAGCAGAGCAATTATGTTTGTTTCTTACCTAAAGCATTTAGAATAAATATTCTAAGAAATTCCATATCTTTGCATATAACTCTGGTAAAGCTAGTCTGAAAGGAAATTTCTTTCATTTCCCAACAATTATATGTAAGAACAACACTGTAAGAATGTAGAATTCTGCCGAAACCGGTTTGGCTCAGTGGATGGAGCGTCGGCCTGCGGACTGAGGGGTCCCGGGTTCGATTCCGGTCAAGGGCATGTACCTGGGTTGCAAGCGCATCCCCAGTGGGGGATGTGCAGGAGGTGGCTGATCGATGTCTCTCTCTCATTGATGTTTCTGACTATCTTTCTCCCTTCCTCTCTGTAAAAAAAAGTCAATAAAATATATTTTTTTAAAAAAGAATGTAGAATTCTGAAATTTATTTTATGCATTAATTTTCTGTTGTATTTAAATATAAACTATGTCTCATACTATTGGGTTTTTTCCCCCTCTATAATTCTTCTACAGAAATATAATCAATGAGAATCTGCTCACCAAGCCAAATTTTGGAAGAACTAAAAGGACATGAGACTTCAGTCAAGTGAAAAGTTAACATGTAATCTGGACACGCTAATAAATTGTATACATTCCTAAATTGTACAATTTCAGGATGAAAATTTCATCATAATGAGCCCTGTGACTCAATGATGGAAAATGCCTCTACTTGTTAATATTTCAAAATGAAGAACAAATAGTTTCTTTCAAATAGTTGCTTTTGTGTGTTAACATAATTTTTATAGTTAATTGATTTGGAATTCTATTCTATTGTATTTTAATAATTGTGCTGTCAAGTGAAAGGCTTGTAATACTATAGGTAAAATCTACGTTCTTTTTGCATTCTAAACTTCTGAATCTATTTTCATTTTAAATAAAATCTTATCATTTCCTTCATTACTAAATAAGCAAGATATGCTAATACACTAATGGTGATGAAATCTTTAGTCCCAATAATAAAGTGTGTACTTGGAAATAAATGCCTTGCATACATATATACATATATATGTGCAGACACATGTGTGTATAGACATAGGCATAGACATAGATATATAAAATGACACTTACATTCATCCTTTAATGCATAAATCAATACAAAAAGTTTTTCCCATTAAAATAAGTGAAATGTTACATATATATAAACGGCTCATTTAAATGTGTCTGATGTCACAGCGCTAACTTCTCCAGGCCACTCTCTGATGCATTCATTGTATTTCACTGGAAGAGTTACTTATTAAATGGTCAGAGAATCTTGAGAAAGAAAAGAATTAATGACTTTTCTTTGCAAACGAAACTTAACTCTGTAAATGCAACAAGATGTGCGAACATGAATATTTTAATAGGTTTCTGTTGCATTCTTTTATAGTGTTCTCAGATAAATTCTTTAATCCATCCAGTACTAGGTTTTCTTATTAAGAAAGTTTTGAAAATTGGTTTAAATAATCTAAAAGAAATTTCTAGATATGAGACTCAGGCTTTGTGCCTATACTGCTGTCACTCATTTATAGTGAAACATAAGTAGCAGTATAAAATCAGAGAAGTACCTTCCTGTGACATTCTACTTCCGCATTAGTAAAAATCCATGTGGCTCTCCATTGCCGTGCGATAATAAGGAATATTATGTACATATCTGACCTGCCAACTTAAATTTATTTTTTAATATATTAAAAAATTTAAATCTTAACCTGCTTGTATGTTCAGAGAATGTTCTCATACTAAGTTGTCTTTTTAAAATAAATAATAAAAGCAGCACAATTCTGTTGGTATATATTTTTAAAGTCGTTTTAACAGTATTATTGTGTATATCTAATCACATGGATGACCCAAGCACTAAGACAATGTACTTTTTAAAATGTGCGTTTTTCAATAAAAATAAAATGTTGAACCAAAAGAGAACATGAGACTAACCTTGTCTCTGAAGTAACTTAAAGTCAAAAACAGTAGGATTCAAGTGACTGTGCCGTCTAAACCAGAGCAAGAGAATTCAGAGAAGCAAGAATTGTTTCAACTTCCTTGAACTTTTTCAGTTAATTTCTGTGTACTTCTGTCTATGGACTTCTCACATTTGAATTTAAAGTTTGTGGGAAGAGCCCAGCCTGTGTAGCTCAGTGTAGCCTCAACCCATGAACTAAAAGGTCACCAATTCAGTTCCCCCTTAAGGCACATGCCTGGGTTGCAGGCTTGATCCCCAGTGTAGGGCATGTTGGAGGTATACTGGATGTTTCTATCTCTCTATTCCTCTCTTTTCTCTCTCTCTAACATCAATAGATAAAAAATAAAAAAGAAGATTAAAAATAAAATAAAGTTTGTGGGAAGAAATGACCTTTATTCTCTTAATATTTTATAATTAAATTAGCATTAGATTATCGTAAAGAAATCCGACCTATAAAGCTAACCTGATCCCATGACAGGTTCATGCTGAATTTCTTAAAATGTGGGACTGGAGTGGGGGATGGGAGTGACGCTGATTAGAAAATTTTATCCTTCAGGCCTGGGTGTCTGCTTCTGTGTAAGCAAAAGGCCTAAACTAGGGAGAAAATGAAGGGGGGAAAGTGAGAGACACTGAAGGGAGGCTATGGGAAGCCAAGGGAGGACCTGGGAAAGGGGTATTTTAGTGATATTAACATACAGTAACTGAATAAGAGCCTTCTGGTTTAATCTAGGCCTTTATCTTATCAAATGTAGCAAATTACTCACAAGAAACTTAAGAGCCAAATCATTTACGTAAAAATCAATATAAAATTCCACCTCATATCATGCACATGCCTGTACCATTGGTCTTACCTAACAGTGACACTTGGGGATATTAATGGGGTCGACCCAGCTTTGATAGGGAAGCAAGAGAAGAACCCATTCTATAGAATATATTTTAAAGGACACAGGAGACATAACTAAAGTTGTTTTTCATTGTATCCTATGAGTCTTGTTCACTCAATATAAAACCACTAGAAGCCTGGTGCATGAAATTCATGCACTGGGGGGGGCGGGCAGCCCTCAGCCCAGCCTACGCCCTCTCACTGTCCAGGAGCCCGTGGGGGACATCCTTAGCACAGTCAGAGCCTCTCCTGCCACTGCCGCTGCATTCACCAGCCCTGAGCCCAGCTCAGGGCTTCTGGCTGAGTGGTGGTCCCCCTGTGGGAGTGCACTGACCACCAGGGGCAGCTCCTGTATTGAGTGTCTGCCTCCTGGTGGTCAGTGCACATCATAGTGACTGGTTGTTCTACTGTTCAGTCAATTTTCATATTAGCCTTTTATTATATAGGATTAGACAGATAGAAATACGTATTAATATAGTAAAAACATCTCTTAATGAAAACAGATAAGAGATCCCCAAAGTGTAGGACAGGGTCGAGGGAGGCATGAAAGAACAAGCTAAGAATGCTTCAGCCTCCACATCTACTATCTCCTCCAGCTCTGGGTGAGCTGAGTGTTTGTCACAATCATCAGTCCTCACAGATCCCACAGCCCCTAGGAGACAAAAACAAAACAGAAAAAAGCATGTCAAAGAGTCACATGCCACGACTTTGATGCAAGGAAGTATGATGAGGTAAAATCAGTTGGAATTCTATCCATTTTTCTACTTTTGGAAGAACCTTTCAAAGTGCAAAGCCCAGTGCATGGAGGACAACGAACACTTTTACATTCTGGGCAGAAGTCTTCACAGTTCTCATCTATCAGATTCTCTCGTTTCTATGAACCAATGACTGATGTATGTTTTGCTGAACTCCCCAAATCTGTAAGTTTCCCAAGTCTGTACTCCAAGTGGTTACTACTAATTCTCAGAACTGTCTTGAAAGATGAAATCCAATATTATTTCTGATTTAAAATACAAGCAGCAGGGATGAGGGTGCCGCCATTGGTCATGTGACCTTCTTTTTCATTTTTGCTAAAAGAAAACTTAAGGCAAGAACAGCACTTTTGGTAGTAGACTTTGACAGTGTTTCATTTCTTCAGGATAAGTAACCTATTTTTTAAAAAATGAAACCTTGAGAGAGCAATGCTGTCATCTATTTCAATGACTTGTATAGTATTTCATAATTTTATTAGGAAATTCTAGGAAAACCCTATTTTTCAGCATCCAAAATATTGGCTGCTTTTGACTAAATCTGGATAATGTTTCCTTTAGGTCTTTATGAGTTTTTTCATTCTTCTGAAACATTTGCAATCACTAATTTTGTATCTGAAAATAAGAAAGCATAGATGCCAAACTCATGAGCACACTTTATCTGATCTGACTTTTCCCTTACATCAACGTGACATCAGACTTACACATTTTCTTTCAGGTTCAATGACCTATGATTGTGTAATAGTGGTTCCAGTTCGAAATTTAGGTGAATCTTCCACTTGCAATATTGAGAAGGTGTTTCTGTGGTGGGCAGTTAGGCAGACTTGAGCAGAGCAAAAACCATGGGCCAGTTTACAGAAGGTCCCCTGGACAGAAAGTCGTGGACACAACGGGCAGAAATGGTAGAGCAAGTTTTGAAGAGAAGATTTGTTTTTTGGTGTATGTGTGTGTGTGTTTAAATATATATTTTATTCATTTCAGAGAGGAAGGGAAAGGGAGAGAAAGAGAGAGAAACATCAATGAGAATTATTGATTGGCTGTCTCCTCCACGCCCCCTACTGGGGATGGAACTCTAAACCTGGACATTGTGCCTTTGACTGGAATCTAACCCGGGACCCTATAGTGCACAGGTTGACTCTCTAGCCACTGAGCCAAACCAGCTAGGGCTTTTGGTGAGTTTTTAATTTATTCATCTTTTGTTGTTAATCCTCACTTGAGGATAATTTTCTGTTGATTTTTAGAGAGTAGAAGGGAGGAGGAGGAGGAGGAGAGAAAGAGAGAGAGAGAGAGAGAGACATTGATTTGTTCACTCCCACATGCACCTGACCAGAGCTAGGGATCTAGCCTGCAACCGAGGCATGTGCACTTGATCAAAATTGAACCCAGGACCCTTCAGTCCACAGGCTGACTCTCTATCCACTGAGCCAAACCGGCTAGGGCGAGATAAGTATTGTTAATCAGGACCTCCCCCCAAGGCACCCTTTCCTCCCCTAGGTTGTCTCAGGTTTTGTCGGCCAGATTCTCCCCCTGACCTTTTCTCCCCTGGCATATTCTCCTTCCTCTTAGACCCTCCTTCTCCATGCTCCCGACCCTTAGAGAAAATGGAGAAAAGCCCCATCTGAATTTCATGCAAGGACAGATGACAGGACAGGCCCAAAGCAGTTAAGCCCCCTCCAAGGGGATAAAAGGACCCCTAGCCTACCCCCCAGGGCAGCTCAAAGATCTGCCTGCCCACTGGAGACTTCCTTTTAGGGTTGAGTGTTGTCCCATGCACCAAGAGGTCACTGGTTCAATTCCTAGTCAGAGCACATGCCCGGGTTGGGAGCTCAATTCCTAGTTGGGGCATGCAGGAGGCAGCCGATCAATGATTCTCATCAGTGTTTCCATCTCTCCCTTCCTTCTCCTTCCTCTCGCTCTAAAATCAATAAAAACATATTTTTTAAAAAATTATGTTTAGTCAGGGAGAAACTGATTACTTTTTAATAATAGCTAATACCAAATATCTCATGTCATCTTCTAGGATAGAGCACTGCCAAAGGCTCGAGTTAGAAAACTTGACAATGTGGATATTGATGCTCAATTAGCCACAAACCACAAGGAGGCACTGCCTCTAGCGAACCAGCCAGGACCTGATGGTTTCAGCCAGGCTTCTGCTGCCCTCTTCCAAGTTTATATCCCACAACTTACATTTATATTATATATAATTTTATTGATTTCAGAGAGGAAGGAAGAGGGAAAGGGAGAGATAGAAACATCTAGGGATGGAGCCTACAACTGGGCATGTGCCCTGACCAGGAATCGAACTATAACCTCCTGGTTCATAGATGATGCTCAACCACTGAGCCACACTGGCTGGGCAGATTTATAAATTTGAGAGTAGGAAAACAACAAGTCATGATCAAAAGTTCTGTAACGGTCCATTTAAAGGAAAATGATAACCAACAGGTATATTGAAGTGTGCTAACAATGTGCACCTCAAACTTCCGTGTGACTGAAGAATTAATTACCTGAAAGCTTAGGACATGAATTGTGGGGTCCCACCCACAGAGACCCTGATACAGTAGAT